TTTGGGTGTTTTAGTGAAACTCCCTATATATATTCCTCCTTAAAAGAAGAATGAACATATCAGTTTAAACCCTAATTATTTTGAGTTGGTATTAGAGCGGGTTCCGATCAGTCTCTACAACATCAAAACCCTAATCCTAAAAATACATATTTCCGCTGCACCTATCCTATACACCTAAGCATGTGCCGTCTTATATCTCTTACTGTCGTCATCGCCACCTAATATTTTGCTGCCGTCGCCATCTATCACCATGTCAAATGTCACTAAATCTTCTTCTTCTACTCCTATTGTGACGGTTCATACCGAATCATCTACCAACCTACTTATGTGATTCAAATTGAATGGATCCAACTATGAGATATGGGCTTTGATGATCGAACTCCAAGCTACTACACAAGGCAAATTGGGTTACCTAACTAGCGACATTGATACCCCTGATTCCAAAGACCCGAAATTTGGGAAGTGGAAAATTGTTGATGTTGTTGTGAAAAGATGGATGTTGCGAACTATGAAACCCAATTTGTTGAATATGTTTCATACTCTACCTACTGCTAAGGAAATTTGGGATGTTGTTAATCAGATGTTTTATGATGGCTGTGACATATCCTAGCTCTATGAACTGTGGTGCCAGGCTACCCGTCTCAAGCAAGAGGGTTAAGCAAGAGGGTCATCCTGGCTCTACCTATGTTGCCAAACTTAAGCAATCTGGCTTGAATTGGACAAGAGACGTCATTTTCAGATGAAATGTACTGATGATATAAAGACTTTTTAGGATGATGTTATGGCAGATCGTGTGTATGATTTTTTGGCTGGCCTTGACGATACTTATGACAAGGTCCACAGTGATATTCTACGGAGTGATAAAGTTCCAAGTATCGAAAATGTGTTTTTTATGGTTCGTCGAGAGGCTCAACGCCAGATTACTATGCTTGGAGCCGACACCAAGATTGGGGAGCTTATTGTTGTGTTTGCTTCCAAAAACACTGATTTGGTTTCTCGGCATACAGGGTCTGGCTTTTCTGCTGTTCATTCTTGTCGCCTGACTTCTGTAGAAAAAGACAAACTGAAGTGTGATCACTGTGGTGAAAAGAGACATACTATCAACACCTGCTAGGTATTGCATTGGGTACTAGACTGGGAGAAGAAGATGAGGCGTTTAAAAAAGGAACAATTGGATAGCAAAGCTCATGTGGCTGTTGCCTCCACTTCTGTGGCTGACATCACCACTGGGCACATCCACCTTAATGCTACTCCTCCTCCGACTTTGACTGCAGTCTCAAGCACTCCAACACCTCCACCTCGAGGTAACTTTGGCAAGGCTTTCCATGCCCATGATACCCGAGATACAGGTTGGATTATTGATTCAGGATCTACTGACCATATGACGTATAATTTTGCTTTATTCTCTAATACTCTTCCGCCTCATCGTGATCATGTTTTGATTGCTAATAATGCTGCTGCTCCTGTCACGGGGGGCTGGTTCTATACTCTTGACACCTGCTTTACCATTGGACAAAGTGTTACTGGTTCCATCTTTGTCTAATTTATTATCTGTACCGCAAGTTACTGAGCAATTAAACTGCTTTGTACTGATGTATCCGTCTTTTGTCTTACTACAGGATATCCAAACTCGGGAGATCTCAGCATCGCCGAATTTGGTTGGTACATTGCCAATTTGGTCATGCCTCCTTTGGATATTTACGACATTTGTTCCCTGCATTATTTAGTGGTGTCAACGAGTTTGCTTTCCAATGTTAGACTTGTATTTTAGCTAAGAGTCATCGGGTATCCTAGCCTTCAAGTTGTAATAAACAGATTATGCCATTTGATTTAGTTCATTCTGATGTCTAGGGACTTTCCCCGGTTTCTACAGCCTTAGGAGTTCCTTGGTTTGTGTTATTTGTGGATGATTGCACTCTTATGATGTGGTTATATGGCATGAAAAATAAGTTGTCGAAAATTTTCAACGTTTCTATCAGATGATTCAGACTCAATTTATGCTCCCTATTAAGGTTTTTCGATATGATAATGGTGGAGAATTTGTTAATTTGGCGTTATCCCTTTTATTTTTTTCATACTAAGGGTGTACTTCATGAGACTACTTGCCCTCAAACATCACAACAGAATGGGGTTGCTGAACGTAAAAATGGGTATATCCTTGCTGCTGCCCGTGCTTTGCTGCTTGGTGCGTTAGTTCCAAAGCGATTCTGGATGGATGCTGTTACCTATGCAGTCTATCTTTTGAATCGTCTACCTTCACGAGTTTTGGATTTCCACACTCCTATGCAGGTACTGACCCGTCATATCTCTGCCTCCTCTATGTTGACTCTGCCTCCAAAGGTGTTTGATTGTGTTGTCTATGTTCACCTCCATCAGAATCAGAGGAGTAAGCTAGACCTATGTGCTCTCCACTGTGTCTTTCTAGGTTTCTCTCCTCATCAGGAAGGCTATCGATGCTATCATCCTGCCACCCGAGGTCTATATGTCTCTATGGATGTTACCTTTATTGAGGATGAAATGTTCTTCTCTAATACACCCGCGCATGTCCTTCAAGGGGAGACTAGTAGTGAAGGACATAACTTGCTAGATTTACAGTGGGAGTAGTATTGGATAGTTTGATACAAAAGGAAGAGCCGACCGAACTTGCTGAACCTACTACGCCGGTCGAACTTGCTACACATGGCGAACCAGCTACACTAGCTGAACCTGCTATTTTAACTGATGTCACTACTGTCACTGAACCGATTGCCCCCTACGAAGCTTCTCTAATAGTACCCGATTAAGCTCCCCTGGATATTCCTGAGGTAAGTGCTTCTATTCATACTTCTGATAATTCTTATGTTTTACTGCCTAGACAGAACCGTGGGGTTCCACCTAATCGCTACTTACGAGAAGGCAAAGCGAGATATGCTATTGCCCATTATGTGTCTGATCACAGATTATCTCCTAAGTGCAAAGCGTTTATGACCAGAATGGATAGTATTAAAATTCCAACCCGTGTTGAGGAGGCATTTAATGATCCAAAGTTGGCTAAAACCATGAATATTGAAATGGAGGCGTTGCAGAAAAATAATACATGAGACATTGTTGATCTACCTGATAAGTCCATATTTTGCATATATTTTATGCCTCATTCGCTTATTTATTTATTGATTTTCTTGGATTAAATTGTTGGGTTTAATGTATTTTGTGAGAATTGTGTAGTTGGTCCCTAATTAGAAGAATTGGACGAAAAGTTGTCAAATTGGACTCAAAAACCATTAAGATGTACGAGAAGGATTAATTGGAGACAAAGAACATGTTTCTTAGAAGGCAATCAACCGGCCAAAGCTTAAAGGAGGAAGTTTGGTCAAATCCTTGTGGAATTTGGAGAAGCAATCAAATAGATTTTGGGAAACCTATTTTTGGTAGTATTTGATTGTAACTAGGTTAAGGATTTGTGTATTATAAATAGCATAGGGCTGGCCTCATAGAGGGGATCCATACTTTTCACTACCCGAAAATACCCAATTCTTGCAAAGAGAAGTCCTGCTGCCGCCGGCCAACTTGGAGCTTTTTGGGAGTTTTCGAGTTCATCTTCATGTCTACCATCAACCACTTTGTGATTCTCAATAAGTTTATCATGTTCTAATTTCCTTTTTGCTAGGGCTATGATGTAGCCTAGCCATGAATACCTTATTTCTGTGTTTATGTTAATTTGATATTATTTTCCATGTTAAGTATCTTTTACCATTCTTAATGCTTTGAGTGCTTGATCACCACTTAATTGATTTGATGCTTTAGTTGACGATAGGAATATCCAACTTAGGAATTTGATTCTGGTAATTGGTACCACAGGTTACTTGAGTGAACTGGAAGGTTAATCAAGGCTTGTGTGGTTTCCATAAATTTCCATAGAACTTAATAGGTTTCTACTTCTTAGTTCTTCATCTAGGCATCGAGTATAGACAGGCATGTAGGAATACTTTTGGTATAGACAGGCATGTCATATTGAATAATTAAGGAAAATTTACCATTAATATGGATAATAATTAGGATTAACTAGTTACATGAATAGGGTAGAATTGACTATGGTGAAATCGGAACTCTAGTGCTCATACCATCAGTGTTTGCCGAATTTTCTTATTGTTTATGTTAGTTCATTCTGATTAATCAAAACCTCACCATTCGAACATCCAGATAAAGTTTAGGATTAATCATAATCAGTACTCAGTTAATTAGTCTTAGTCTCTGCGGAACGATACTCACTTACCACTACACTATTTTGCTACGATTTTGTGTCCTGCAATTTCGTTATCAATTTTGGCGCCGTCGACGAGGGCTAAACTGATTTTAATTGATATTGATATATTTTGGTCCGAATTTTACTTTAGAAATTTTTTATTTTTTTATTTTTTTAATTGTATTTTTTTTTTTCTACAGGTACTTGCTTAGTTAGTGCATGAGTTTTGGAAGACGTTCGCAGACATCTAAACTTATACCTTTAGACCCTGAAATCGAGTGGACGTTTCACAAGCGCAATCGAGTTCACCAAGCAAGACCCCAGCAAAATCCAATAGAACCAACCACCATGGCTGAAGCGGAAAGGCAAGTTAGAGAGTTTGGCACTCCCACCGTCGAATCAACGAGCATTCGCCACCCCACAATCGATGCCAACAATTTTGAAATTAAGCCAACGATCCTGAGCATGATCCAACGCAATTCCATCTTTTGTGGCCTTTCTCATGAGGACCCCAACACCCATATTTCAATTTTTTTGGAGATATGCGATACATTCAAGATTAATGGAGCTTCTAGCGATGCCATTCGCCTTAGACTTTTTCCATTCTCACTGAATTAGAAAGCAAAATTGTGGTTGACTTCTCAACCACCCAATTTGATCACTACATGGGATGATTTAGCTAAATTTTTTTTGATTTTTGGCTAAATTCTTTCCTCCATCTAAGACAGCACGGCTCCGCAACGAAATCATGACATTCACATAATTCGACAAGGAACAGATGTATGAAGCTTGGGAGAGATACATGGAGTTGCTTCGTAAATGCCCATACCATGAGTTACCAAAGTGGATGCAAGTCCAAACATTCTACAATGGGCTGAACACTACAAGCAAAACTCTCATTGATGCCGCAGCTGGAGGAGCCTTGATGGCCAAAACGCAGGATGAAGCATACGAATTGCTTGAGACCATGACATCCAACAGCTATCAATGGCCTAGTGAACGTGCAATGCCTAAGAAAGCCGGAGTTCATGACGTCGACGCAATAACTGCATTAACTGCACAAATTTCTACTCTCTCTAAACAACTTGGTTCATTAAATGTCAATGCGATTCAAACCCCTAATGTTATTTGTGAATTTTGTGCAGGAAATCACTCTAGTGCTGATTGCAACAATGGGAATCCATTCTCTGCACTCAAACAAGTAAATCAAGTTGGAGATTTCAATCGTCAAAGGAATAATCCATATTCCAACACCTACAACCCGGGATGGAAAAATGACCCGAATTTCTCTTGGAGTAATAACCAAAATGCACAAAAACCACCTCCTGGATTTCCACCTCAAGAGAAAAAGGTTGGGTTAGAGGACGTACTAACTCAACTTGCTGGAAATACGAGTACTCTCTCAAATGACACCAATCAATTTATGAGCAAGACCGAGACCACGTTACAAAATCAAGCAGCCTCTATAAGAAATTTGGAAGTTCAAATGGGACAGTTAGCTCAAGTTTTGATGGGGAGAGAGTCGGGTACATTGCCCAGCCAAACGGAAATAAACCCAAAGAATTTGGAGCAAGCTAAGGCCATTACATTGCGGAATGGATGACCAATCAAGACAGTCGTTGATTTGGAACAAGAGCACGCTAGAGAGCTTCCTTCCATAAGCAAGGAGTAGTTGAAGAAAGTTCCAGCAGTTGCCAAACAAGATGGTTCAACTGGACAACTGAGAGCCAATTCCTATGTCCATGAAATTCCATTCCCTCAACGTTTAAAGAGCAAGAAAGTTGAAGAACAATTTGAGAAATTTCTGCAAATTCTTAAGAAATTGGAGATCAATATTCCTTTCATTGATGCGCTAGAACAAATGCCCACATATGCAAAGTTCATGAAAGATATCATAACTTCAATGAAGAAATTGGGGAACAACCTCACAGTAAAGCTGTCCAAGAGATGTAGCGCCATCTTGCAAGGCCAAAAACTGCTAGAGAAAAAGAAAGATCCAGGGAGTTTCGATATACCTTGCACAATTGGTTCTATTTATTTTGATAAAGCGTTGTGTGATTTAGGTTCTAGCATTAATTTAATGCCCTTATCTATGGTTGGGGGAGGAAATTAAATCTACTTTTGTTTCTTTGCAGATGGCGGATAGATCAATTACACTACCCAAAGCCATGATTGAAGATGTGATTGTTAAGGTTGATACCCTTGTCTTTCCTGCAGATTTTCTTGTCATAGATATGGAAACCAATGGCGATACACCAATCATCTTGGGCCGGCCATTCTTACTCACTGGGAGGACCTTAATTGATGTTGAACAAGGTCTTGTGGTTTTAAGGGTAGCAGACAAGAGTGTAGCAATCAATGTGTATAAAGCGTTGCTCTATCTAGAAAGTGAAGAAACATGCATACTGATGGACACATTGGAAAGAGAAATATCCTCACACTTTGAAATAGAAAATCCATGTGATCCATTAAAGGCTTGTTTAGTCCACCACAATAACAAGGAGACGGAAAATCAGGAAATTATTGAGATGGCACAATACTTGGATGCATCAAAGCCAAAAATTAAAGATAAGTGGCCAGAATTCGAACCACTTGGTGACGCACCCCCTAAGCTACAACCAAGCACCCACTACTACAAAAAAGGAAA